GATCGGATATGACATGTTTTCAGGTTAGCGGATAATTTTGCCCACCCCTACAAGCAAAGCTCTAGGAGGCACCAGTCAATCTTATTCTTCTCAACTCACGGCGCGCTAAAAAATGACTACCAGTAGTGGTGTATATAGATTAGCTAGTTTCCTAAAACTTACCTTCAATCTTTTCTACAATTGGACTAGGACTTAAAAACACTACCGACATAACTAAGAAACCAACTATAACTAAGAAACTAGAACCAATCGCATAGGAATTAACAAATAATAATAATTTTGATTTAACTCCAACATTACCTCCCTTAAATTAAGATCTTCAAATTTCACCATGCCGAGTATTGTCTTCAATTTCATGAACATCTCCAACTTGAGCGGCTTTGTCAAAATGTCAGCAACTTGATCTTCACTTCTGCAATAATCAATAGCAATTTCTTGCTCTCGAACCAACTCTCGAATAAAATGATATTTGATGTCAATATATTTGCTGCGTCCATGAAAAACTAGATTTTTTGTCAAGTCAATAGCAGACATGCTATCACAAAATATTTTGGTAGGACCATCTTGCTTGTGTTGTAAGAATCCAAGCATTCTCCGCAACCAAAGTGCTTGAGTAGCACTACTTGTAATTACCATGTACTCTGATTCTGTTGTGGACAAAGCAACCACTTGTTGTTTATTTCACATGCTTCCCTCCTTAAGAAAATTTCGTCCTCGAAATTTCACACTTTTAATTGTAAAAAGTTCTGAGTATTCTTTCCATATTTTATCTTCCATTTCCACATCATTTCGTCTAATCATTCATGTTTTCCACAAAACCTTAACAAAAGAAATTTGGTCTTAGCATTTTCTCCTTTCCAATTTAAGTGTTGTATCGACTACTTCCTCAAGTATATAAAATTCAACTACTTTAATTTATACTTCAACTGTAACCCAGAAACACATTCACTCCACATATATCATTACTATTAAGCAATTCATGATCAATTAAATTATGCCACATAACAAGGTCAATTGTAATATATATCAAGCTCAAATACACTTTAATAAGAAGTCAAACAAGTCTTTAGTATAAGTACATTCAGTATCCATAAAAACATGACAAAGTTCCAACTCAATCATCCATACAAAAGTTTTAATCAAGTGATTTATTGGGTCAGTCCATAATAGAGCTGGCAGATCCAGTCTCTTTAGTTGGTTCAAATTTATTTTCAACCCTAAGAGCTTTTTCTTTTGGGTTTTTTCCTATCCAAATTCATTCCCACAATCTCTTCAATCACAACCTACATTCTGCCAAAATCCCTTCAATTTTATCCCTTGCCTATCTTGGTACCCTAATAAGGCGGTCTTTAGTCTCCTGCAATTGATCATGCATTATGTTAGTTCACTCTTGCTCCTCTATCACATTAGTTTACAACTCTAGAATCCTTACTTGAACTATTATTTCACTTAAATTTCAGGTCTGAAAACCACATTTTAGGCAATAGATAATTTATAATTCATTTACTATTGAAAGGCTAGTAAAGTTATTCACCTTAAGATGGGGGATTTGCACTAATCTTCAAGATCTCACTATTGCCTTTTACCTTTAACTCTCAAAAGCTAGCCTTAGTTCGATTCTCCTTCCCCAAATTTAATCACGATTTCTATTCACATCATAATGTAATATACTAACTCCTGTCAATTTGCAAATACACCAATGTATAAATATTTTGTATTCGGATACAAGAATCCGAAAATAAGATAATTCACAACTCAAGTCGGCCGGTCCCAAGAGTAAATCATCCACATTTGAGATTCCTACCCGACGTACATATCTAGACCAAGAGAATACACTAGATCCCAAATAAAATACATAACCAGAAGTGCTCCTCCTTTGTATTGTATCACCAGCCCAATCACTGTTTGTATATCTAACAAGGTTGCTACCATGTGAAGATGAATAAAATATACCATCAGATTGCGTACCTTGAATGTATCTACTAATGCAACCAACTCCATTTGAGAGCTTGTTTCAAACCATATAATGCCTTTTTCAATCTATATACTTTGTCTTCTTAACCCTTTCTAACATAACCTGCAGGCTGCTCAGCATATATCTCTTTTTCAAGAAAACCATTTAAAAATGCGGATTTCACATCCATTTGATGAATTTTTCAGCAATTATTTGCAGCAAGTGATACAATCATACGAACCGTATCAAGTCTGGTAACTGGTGCAAAAATTTCAAAATAATCAATATCTGCCTTCTGCTTGTAGTCTTTGACAACCAATCTCGCTTTGAAACGATCCACCTCTTCTGTTAGCTTATACTTGGTCTTATATACCCATTTCACTCCAATTGGCTTTTTTTGAGGTGGGATAGTGGCCAACTCTCATGTATCATTTTTCTCAATGGCATGAATTTTTTCATCTATTGTACGAACCCAACGATCATCTTTGACAGCTTCTTCAAATGAGACAGGATCACAATCTATAAAAAGAGCAAAATTCACAATTGCTTCATCAGTTAAATCATCATCTTTGCCAACAACATAATCATCAAATTGAGCTGGCATGCGGCGCTCTCTTTGTGGTCTGTGACGCCCCCGTTTCTCCCAAGGGCGAACCCTAGGATATCGGAGGGAGGCCTGCCTAACTCGCTCCAGAACTCGAAATTTCAAAGCAATAAAAACTAGATAAACCAAAAGCGTACTATTCACAATATAGCCAACTCCAAAAGAGTTCTATTTACATCCCCAAAATCAGTTAGTCAAGCCACTACATTACATTATGATAACAACTAGCAGAAAGTAGACCCTAAGGAGGGTTCTTATACAAACCACCAAAACAAAAACAACCATCTTAATTGTCCAACTATTACAAGCAAACCTAACTATACTAGTGAATGTGCCAAGGAGTTCCCCGTGTCGTCCCCTGCTAAGGAAAAAAAAGGAAACGGGGTAAACTATATGCTTAGTAAGTAAACAGGGGTAAAATCGTAAATTGCATATTTGAATAAACATATAAATCCAAAAATTTCACATCAGTATAGAATTGTAACATCACAATGGTAGGACACGAGTTGGCTCCAAAGCCAAGTCGTTTGCCATGCGTGACCTCCTGCCGACACTCCATCGACCACAATTAAAATCCGTAGAACTCCACTTGTGCTTCCACCTAACACTTTATCACCCTCACTGGCCAGTTACCTCACAAACTTAATCATCTACACTTAATCATACTTTCTCCATAATAAAAACAATTAAACAACAACCTTTATAACATTGGCAAAATTAGGGTTTTAACCCAACTTAAGCTTTCTAATCTATTGGAACACTAGAGGGTTTACTAGTCTGAGGTTATCTACCTTTTAAACTTACTTAACCAATATAAAATGGATCAAATCCTATACTTACCCGCACGAAAACACACACACTAGCATAACTAACTTTAATAACCACTCGAACTGATGATTAATACAAAAACTAGGGTTTCAATCCTAACCCCAATTCAGGGTTTTCTAATTAACCCTAAAACCCCAAATTTTACCACACAAATAATGAATATCACCTAATATCAAACTTAAGAACTGACCGGGGTCTCACATGGTCGGCTAGATGTCTCAACCTGAATAGTAGAAGTTGAGGGATCACCATAAGAGTGCACAACTTGCTCCACTACTTGCTTACTAGTACTCGGTCCCATAATGGGAGAAATGAATGAATGTTTTGGCGATGTCTCAGGATCTTTTCTAGACCAATCCCAGATTCCATGTTCATCAAAAGTTACATCTCTGCTAACAATCACCTTTCTTGTGTTTGAATTGAATAACTTATACTCCTTAGTCTCATGACTATATCCAATAAAAATATACTTCTCTGCTTTATCATCCAATTTCTTTCTCAAATGATCTGGAACATGCGCATACGCAAGATAGCCAAATACCTTGAAGTAAGAAATATCCGGTTTCATACTAGTCCAAATTATTTGTGGAGTCTTTCCAAAATTACATCTAGTAGGACACCCGTTCAAAACATAAATAGCACAAGATATTGCTTCTGCCCAAAGGGATTTAGGAATACCTTTGGATTGCATCATTGATCTCACCATGTCCATCACAGTCCTATTCTTCCTTTCTGCCACACTATTTTGTTGAGGTGTATATCTGGCTGTCATTTGATGTTTTATACCACTTTCCACCAAATAGTCATCACAAACAAGATACTCAGTGCCTCTATTAGTTCTCAAAATTTTAATAAAGTAGCCACTCTACTTCTTTACATAATATTTGAACTTTTTAAGCTCATCACATGCATCAGATTTATTTCTTAAAAAATTCACCCATGTCTTCCTACTGAAATCATCAATGAAGGTAATAAAATACTTACTACCACCATTGGAAGGAACTTCAACTAAGCATAAATCTGAATGAATCAGTTCAAGCGGTCGATGGGCTCTCCAAGCCTTGCCTTTTGGAAAAGGATCCCTGTGTTTCTTTTCCAAAATACAAGACTCACACTTGTTATCAGGAAACTCAACAGAAAGCAACCCAATAACTAATTTCTTTCTTTCAAGAAATTTCAAACTCCCAAAATTCAAATGCCTAAAACTCATATGCCATAACCAAGAATCATCACAAGTCATGGAATTACAATAAGGTAAATCACCACAGTTAAGAGAAAGAGGTCACAAACGACTACGGTTCATTTTTATCATGGCAATTAATCCCAATTTCTCATCACTTATGGTGCCATCACCATATTTAAGATGCAGATCGTAACTTTTCTCAGATAGTTGTCCCAAACTCAACAAATTATGATATAAACTTGGCACATAGAAAACATCAGAAATATAATTTGAAAACCCATCTTGCAAGATAATTCTAATTTTTCTTTTTCCAAGGATAGGTACTTTTTCCTTGTTTCCAAATCTCACAGATGTATGAAAAGATTCATCCAGGTCAGAAAACATCTCTTTTTTTTACCACACATATGATTACTACAACCAGAATCAATAAACTAATCATTCTTCATAGACTCTTCAGATGTAGAACTACAAAACAGCAAGGTCTTCTCTCTATCACTACTATTTTCAGCCACTTTAGCATGCATCTCTTTATTGGACCAACATTCATTCTGATAATGATCAATTTTATCACAATTATAACATTGGACATTAGATCTATCACGCATTTGAAAATTATTTCTTTGACTTTGCTGTGATTGTTTTTCTGATCCCTATTAGAATTATTTCTGGGTTGGTAAGATTAATTACCTCTTCCACGACCACGAAAGTTACCTTTGCCTCCACGTCCTCTACCTCTGAAGTTCTAGCCCTTTTGATTTGTGTCCATATGATTCACTTCCTCTTTTCCTTTTGGGTGATCCACTTTGGCTTGTAACACTTTCTCTTTTGTATCCAATGGCTACTAATTCAGGGACATCTCATAAGTCAGCAATTCACCTTCCAATTCAGCAAGTGACAAATTGTCAAGGTCCTTTGTGGCTTCAAGGACCGTCTTCTTGGTGTGAAATTTGGTAGTTAGAGATCTCAGAACTTTTTCAACAACTCTAACCTCTTCCAAATTCTCACCATTGGACTCCATATCATTGACAATTTCTTTAATTGTACCAATAAAATATTTAATTGACTCCGTGGATTTCATCTAGGCCAACTCAAATTGTCTCCTAAGTTCTTGCAATTTTATTTTTCTCACGTTAGCAGCACCTCGATTTGAGTTCACTAAAATTGTCCAAACCTCTTTTGCCGACTTTGCATGCATAAATTTTTTTGCAACATGCAACTGGACTTGAGTGTTAAGATAGTACATTGCCTGGCAATTCAACTGTCTATTTCTCTCTAATTTTTTAACTGCATCGCTTGATACTTCTATACCTATTACCGATTCCGTATATCCTATCTCGACAATATTTTGGAAAAAATTCTTCATCATCGACCTCCAAGCCTCAAAATCGTTTTTACCATCGAAGATAAAAAATGTGACAATTGTGCAAATAATTTGGATCCATATTTTAATTTCTCAGGACCTCAAGCAAAGCTCTGATGCCACTTTGTAGGAATCTAACCCACAGGATAAAACAAATCAAGACAAATCTCAAAGTCAAAGAAATAAGTATGATAGCGGAAACGAAAATCGCAGGAAAAAGCAACGACAAGAGACGGAAACAAGCAGAGCTCTAGGAGGCACCAATCAATCTTATTCTTCTCAATTCACGGTGTGCTAAACAACACTACCAGTAGTGGTATATATAGATCAGCTAGTTTCCTAAAACTTAGCTTCGGAACCACAAAGGGAATCTTTTATACAATTGGACTAGGACTTAAAAACACAACCGACATAACTAAGAAACCAACTGTAACTAAGAAACCAGAACCAACCGCATAGGAATTAACAAAGAATAATAATCTTGATTTAACTCCAACAAAAAAAATCAAAATTTTAAAACTTGATGATAAAATAAGATGAAATAATCAAATGAAAGTAGACTATGTATAATAGTGAAATAATAATCAAACAAATACTTGCTCTATCTACTAGTGTAGGCAAGCATATTTCGATATTTGAATTGGGTAAATTAAATTTAATTTAATGAAATATGTTTGAATAAAAGAAAAAAATGTAACTTTGGTCTCTAAAGTTTGGCATAGGAGGGATTTTAGTTCTCGAAATTTGAATCAAAGTAAATCTCATTTCCAATGTTTCAAATTTGAAGCATATTTAGGATAATTGATTGATTCTTTTGAATTTTATGGGAATGTAGTGATGTGACCTTTACCTAAAATTAAAAATAGTCATGATACTAAGATTAATCACTCAAATAACATCATAACCACATGCATGTAACCTAAAAAAAAAGAGAAATTATAAAAACCATAAAGATATACATTCGAGTATTCCAAAATTAATTTCGATTGATATCGTTTCTTTCTCCCGCCTTCTTTAGAAGAAAATCTAAAACCAAAATTTCTGGCACAGGTCACGTAATCTCACGTAACTCTATCTTAGCGGGAATTGAAAACATTACTATAGTCTTAAACAAGTTGGATACAGAAATATTAGGGACCCGATTTGTTTCGCCTGAAACTTTAATTTGGGGGCTAGAATAGTTCCTATGGCAAATTTTGGGAATCAAAACTGCATTTTTTCCTTTGTATAAATAAGTGGTTTTTCGAAATTAGTTATTTGAATGAATAATGCTATTCTCTTAAATTTGCACAGTGGTGACAAATGAAGGATGTGAGAAATTAGGCCTTGTTTGGATTGCATTTTTTTTGCAGAGAAAGTTTTCAAGTTTCTCTGAGAATATTTCTTATGCATTTTCCAATCACTTTTTTATTTCACAGATTCACATCCTACGTAAAGCGTTACAGTAATTTTTCTTCAAAAACTCAACAAAAAAATACAATCCAAATGAGCTGAGGAAAAATTTAGTTATGATTTGACTAGTATCCTGGTTACAATGCCGTTATGCAGATAAAGATGTTCAATATGAAATAAAGAATTGAAGAAGTTAGACAATGTGGAATTGTGAATTTAGTGACGAATGGGGTAGTATTGTACAACCAAAATGATGTCAACAAAAATTTGATTCAATATTATAGTTTTATTTTGAATATTCTCTTCTTTTTTGTTGTATTTTAGAGTCCTTAGCATTAATGTTTATCACAATATTAACCACTTTTGTATGTTAATATTGAAACAATTTTACTATATGAGAGATATCTAAAACTAATTGGTTACTTAGGAAGGTAATGTGAAGGGAAATATCAAGAAATAAGGGTATTTTCCAACATTCAAGGGGACAGAGGCAGCTAAAATATCACATCTCTTTAAACAACTTTTTAAGCCCTTGTAGTCTGTACCTTTCCTTGCATCTAATTTCGTATTTGCACAACCTCTACCTTCGACTTGAATGTTCCTTTACTTTTAAAAAAAAATCTTGGATGTTGAATGACTAGTTTAAAATAAGTGCTTTCCAAATAAATCATTTCATCTCAAACGCCATGAGCTCTCCAACACTGATGCTACAAGTTTATCTCCCTTCTGAAAGGTATTTATTTATTTTTTTTGGTCACACTTCCACTTCAAGTTAATTTTGTCTAGAATTTATATAACAAGCATTTCTTGATTAATATTATGAGCGATCTCTAGAAATTCAGATGCAACTAATTTCCATTGAAAGATAGCCTGGAGGTTTTAACTTCTGGAACATAGCATAGAATTGCTATACTGTTTCTAGGAATAATTAATCTAATTTATTTCATTACATATCAATGAAAGAATCGATGTAACTAATTTTGATCATTTGATGCATAGTTTCTAGGCCAATTAATGTCAAGACTAGTTTTAAAACAACAAGGACAAAAAATATTACAAATGAACTAGTAATTATTGTCATGTGCGACGCACGTGCTCTTAAATTAGTACATGTTAGAAGACTATACTTTCTTGTTTTTTTTAATTAATATTTTATTAATCATAAACTGAGAACAAAACCGAGGTTCGAGCAGATGCCCTAACCCCTAAAAGAAAATCGAAAGTTACAAAAATTCTGCATATCCAAAGCCAAAAGTCCCCTAATACGAGTCGGTAACTGAGAGCCCTTAGTGAAAATAACTTGAGCGCCTGACAAGGCCCCATATGCTGCTAGCGAATCCGCCACTGTATTCCCTTCCCGGTAGCAATGGAAGAAGCAGTGAGAACTTGACTCACCCATCCAAATAGCACGAACAATAGGCCGAATCCCTGCGGGAACTCCCCATTCCTTCCTTAAACACTTAATCAGAGCCAGACAGTCAGATTCAACAATTAGCTGAGGGACCCCTACTTGGCGGCCCAGTTGCAGCCCCAAAAGGAGAGCACGAGCCTCCGCCTGCAAAGAGTCCAACCCGCCAAATGAATCCGCAAAAGCTACAATAAATCTCCCACACGAATCCCTAATCACCCCCCACTCCCACTACCACGCACCGTGGCACACCCGTCAGTGTTTAACTTGTAGCAGCCCGTCGGAGGGAAAGCCCACCTGACAATCGTTGCAGTTAAAACCCTCCGAACCCCAGACAGAGCCTGAAGAAGTTCCTCCCATTGCCAAGGCACCATAATACCCAGAAAATGGGCTCTGACTAGCATTCTTACCTCTTGTATGATAAAAGCACGGACCTGCGAAACAGAAAACTTGCGACCCTCGAACCGGGACAAATTCCTCGCCCGCCATAGAAACCATAATATCAGAATTGGGAGAATCCGCATTAACCAGCGTAAAGCCTTACCTTTCACAGGGCGTAACCACCAAGCGGCGCACCGGGAGCGAACCGTGGCCGCTGATGTCGATAGACCAAGAGAATTCTCAAAAAACACCCATGTCGCAGAAGCTAACTGTCCAGCTGAAAAAACATGTTCCATCGTCTCAACCTGGCCAAGCACACAGCAGTGATATTTAGAAGGACCATGAATGTGATACTTTTCGAGAACATCATCCAGCGGCAGCTGGCCATTTTGTAATCGCCACATAAAGAAAGACAATTTACGCGGGATAAAGGAATGCCAAACAAAAGAGAAAGTCCAGGAGCGAGCCCTAGCCGGGCGAGCAAGTTGATATGCCGACCTAGTGGAGAAAACTCCCGAAGGATCCCGCCGCCAAACCAGGGTATCCGGATCCAACCCAAAACAGAAGAAAGACCCCTGAGCGGCGTCCCAAATCGCTGCGGGCACCGAGGCCAAAGCCGAAAAATCCCATCTCCCTTCTCGTACAAAATCCAAGACCTTCACATCTGACGCCGCTTCCGGGAACCGCCACGCCAAAGGGCCTAGCCCACTCCAATTATCCCACCAGAAAGCCACCTCCTCTCTCGAAAGATCCCACTGCAACCAAAGCTCCATGGTTGTACGGACACTCAGCATACGTTTACACGTAGCAGACAATTGAACAGAAAACGGGCCTTGATTAGGATGCAGAGGCCCAAAATACCTAGCCCTCATGAACTGCGCCCAGAGCGATTGACCATGTCGAAACATCCACCAAAGTTTACAGGAAAAAGCCTCCACAATCGTCTGAAGTGACCGAAAACCAACCCCTCCTTCCTCCACCGGAAAACATAAGTTCGCCCATTTCGACCAGTGGCGCTTAGCTCCAAACTCCGACTCACCCCAAAAAAACCTCGCCAAAATCCGCTCTAGATCAGAAATCACCCCCTTGGGCGGCTCTATAACCGCTAGAATATGAATAGGCATAGACGACAGTACATGCTTAATCAATATAGCCCGAGCACTCATAGATAACCACCGACCATGCCAGGAGGCAATCCGTTGGGAAACCTTAGACAGCAAATTAGAAAACAAAGCTTTCACTCGTCTCCCCTCGAACAACGGGCATCCCAAGTACGTGACTGGTAAAGATCTAGAACAGAAACCAGTAACATGTGCAATTATCCTCCTGCGAGCCACCGAAGTCTTCTTGCCAACCAAAAAACAACTCTTCGCCACGTTCACCAGCTGCCCTGACACCTCCTGATACCCCTGGAGCACCTCCCTGACAAACTCCAAGGAACGCTTACCACCATTGCAGAAAACGATGATGTCGTCAGCATAGGCCAGATGTGTCAGCGGCGGAGAGCCCCGCGACACCAAGAATGGGACAAACCTTGAGGCTCGAGGTAGCTCATTCAATCGCCTAGATAAAACCTCCGCTGCAATAATAAAAAGAGCCGGGGATAAAGGGATAAAGGGTCCCCGGGGATAAAAAAACCCACGAGAGGATTGGAAGTATCCGCAAGGCTTCCCATTAACCAATACCGAAAAATGACACGACGAAATCAGCCTCCACACCATGTCAAGCCATTGCTCCCCGAATCCAAACCGTCTCATTACTTGGATTAGGAAATTCCAAGATACCCGGTCATACGCCTTGGCCATGTCCAGTTTGAGTGCAACATTAGATCCCCGCACCTTCTTCCCTAAAGCCGAACACATCTCTAAAGCCAGCAAAATATTATCCGAGATCTGCCGACCCTTAACGAAGCCACTCTGTTGCGGTGAAATAATCTTTGGCAGCACACTTTCCAAACGGCTAGCTAATAGCTTGGAAATGATCTTATTGACAAAATTGCACAGGCTAATTGGGCGAAAATCTGAGAAAGAGGCAGCCCCGGGGACCTTGGGAATCAAAGCCAACCAAGTAGACGTATACCCCCAGGGCAGCTCCGCTCCTGCAAAAAAATCACAAACCGCCCTGACAATATCCCCCTTCACTATCTCCCAACACGTCGTGAAAAAAGACCCCTTGAAGCCATCTGGACCCGAACTACTCTCACCATCCATCTGGAAAACAACTGACCTAATTTCCTCCTCTGTGGGGAACTGTTGAAGACTCACATTATCCTGTGCCGTAATAATCGACGGGATCACACTTAGTTGAGAGGGATCCACCTGCCCCCGGTCAGGCTGTGACAAGACGCCCTCAAAGAAAGCAACCGCCAAATCCTCAATCCTGCCAGCCTCCTCCGTCCAAACCCCATCACCATCTTTCACCCGATGTATACACGAGCGGGCCCTCCGCTGCTTCACCTGAGCATGGAAAAACTTAGAATTGGCATCCCCCTCCCGAAGCCACCGCAGACATGCCTTTTGACGCCAAAAAGCCGCCTCCGTAAGCAACGATTGCTTGAGTTCACCCTGAGCCTGTACTAGCTGATATGTCCCCTCCTCCGAGGGACCCTCCTCTAACGAGCATTCCAGCTCCGAGACCTTAGCCTCATGGTCCCGCACACGATCAAATATATTCCCAAAAACCTCTTTATTCCATCTGCGCAATGCCTGCTTACCGCTTTTAACTTTCTGAGGAGGACTTGAATCGGCCGCCCCTCACACTCCCCCTCCCATGCCTGTCTTACCACACTCTGGAAATCAGGATGTGACCTCCAAACATCAAGGAATCGGAAACTAGTAGGAACCCCACCCACCTCCTTAGAACAGACTAACAAAGGAGAGTGATCTGAAGCAACCCTACACAAATGGGCGACCGATGTGGTGACCGCTAGGTTCAACCACTCCTGGTTAACAAACGCCCTGTCTAAGCGCTTCCAAACCTTGGCTCTGCCCCAACGGTTATTACACCAGACTATACTTTCTTGTTGTAAACATGTAATCAATAATAAATATCTTACCACATTCATGTGCAATTATAGGAGAAAAATTATAAACAAACATGCGAAAATCATTTGAACTCCTTTTATGAATAGCTGCAATAAGCAAGATTCTTACCTAAGTTCCCTTGCAGTCATCACCAATGCACAATAGTCCACTGCCCTTGTGTACTCCATAAAGACGTGCTTTTCCTGACTTAATTACACCTTAAAAAGTTCAACAAGTCTTTTGGTTGATGCCATGAATGAGCTTTTCTGAATTGGTGCCCAGAATGTGTGGCTTCTTGAAAATTTGAGGTTAGTGGTGAGAGGAAATTAAGAAGGATTCTAGAGCAGGACCAGTTAAGAATGAAGTAGCTGTGATTACTTAATAAAGGCAGATGCTTTTAACAATTTTATGGTACCATCTAATAGAATGTTTGCATTGATGTACTAGAGAATGACACTTTTCTAGTCTTTGGCTTTACAAAAGATAGATAATTGGGCATTTGCAACATAAAAAAAAGTGAAATATTAAAGGGAAAATCGTCCAAAACGTCCCTCACATTTTGTAAAATAACTTTTTTCGTCCCTCACTTTTAAAAGTGTAATTTTATGTCCCTTACATATTCACATCGGTCAAATTTAGTCCCTAACTAGATTTCCGATCTTTTTTTGGCCGGAATCCATCACGTGCAAGGCACGTGATCATTTTTTAAGGGTAAATTTGTCAAATTATATTTTACATAATCTGATTTATAGTCCTCCACATTTTATAAAACAAATTTTTTCGTCCCTCACATTTTATAAAATGATTTTTTTCATCCCTCACATTTCACAAAATGAATTTCTCCATCCCTCATATTTCAAAAAATGAAATTTTTATTTCTCACTAATTATGTGTGTTAATACATTTTTTTAAATACTTGTATATGTTTATTTGATTTTGTTTAATAATAATAGCATAAACACATGTATGTAATTGGGTCCAGCTTGTGGGCTATCTTCTCTTTTTGTATGATTATGACTAATATTTACCAATAGAACCTTAATTTGCATATTTTTATTGTATTTTGATCGAAGATAGTTTTATTGGCCAACTTGACAATGAATGCAAGATTATTTACTAGCTAATACCAGATGAAATCAAATGATCATGTATAATATATGGTATTCGTATTGTTAAGTGAAATCAAATAGACACATATATATTTATGCTATTCGTATTATTAAGCAAAATCAAATAGACATATACATGTGTTTAAAAAAAATGTATTCACACACATTTTTTTTTAGGATTTCCCTCACACACATAATTAGTGAGAGATGGAAATATTCATTTTTTGAAATGTGAGGAATGGAGAAATTCATTTTATAAAATGTGAGGGACGAAAAAATTTGTTTTATAAAATGTGGAGGACTATAAATCAGATTATGTAAAATATAATTTGACAAATTTACCCTTAAAAAATGATCACGTGCCTTGCACGTGATGGATTCCGGCCAAAAAATGATCGGAAATCTAGTTAGGGACTAAATTTGACCGATGTGAATATGTAAGGGACATAAAATTACACTTTTAAAAGTGAGGGACGAAAAAAGTTATTTTACAAAATGTGAGGGACGTTTTGGACGATTTTCCATTTATATTATACACGAGGAAGAACAGTAGTGTTTCTAGTCATCTCTTGGGGATGTTGTCTTCCTTTGATAAGATAAGTTTCTTAAAGTGTACACAAAAGGTATCATTTTCCTGCTTTTGATTTACTTCTTCAATGTTCAGCTTCTTAAAGTGTGCACATTTGTCATCAAACGAGAAACTCTCGTACAATTTTTATACATCAATTAAATTTGAAAATCCCATGCCGGCAAAACATGGTATAAGACATGCATGTGAAATGAATTTTGAATCCATAAAAGGCACGAAACAATGAAATGAACTCCCTGCTAGAACCCATAAATATGAGCTGATGCAACGGGATCAACATGCAACCAAACCAGAAATAGACACACTGAAACAACAATCAATCAACTTAAAAAGTAGGACCAATCAGAAGCTCCAATTTTTAATAGTCTATGCTGCAAAAACAGACTATATATAATACGTGGCAGCAAAAGTCATTTAAAACACGAGAAAAGAGAGGGAGGAATACAGATAATGAGAAGTAATAGTTACTGAAAGCACAAGAAGAACAAGAACGATAGCAATGGAGTGAAGAGGGTTTTCCCGTTTTGGTTCCGATGCCTAAGTTAGTCTGCAAAGTGTTTGGGAGCTTGGTATTAGAGAAATTTGAGGTTATCTGGTTACCCGAGTTATGAGGAGAAGTGGGATATTTATACCAAATGGGGAGCTATTGTCCATTGGGGTGCGTTCTCCTTGGATGATCTTGTAGAATATTTTAGTTATTACCCTACTGTGTTACATTAGATCAAATAATATCAATTATGTCACTTTTATCTTCGGATCCACTTTTGATAATTCTTCTTAGGCCCGTGGTCTAGACAACTCGAGCATTGAGTCGAAGAGACCAAGGTTCATCCTGAGGTCACGGCTCAGGTACCAGACATACAAATAAAGAATGCTGATCAGCTAAGTTATGTCAAAAACTATAAACTAAACGCAAAAAAGGAAAGCGGACTTAAATGACATATTAGATTTGCATAGCAAGAGGAGCAGCTCCAAAGAAATTGAGCAGAGCAGCTACAGTTCAGACCTATGAAAAAGTTCAAAGTTTTTCTATCTTAAAAACATTGAGAGAATTCATGTAAAAAGGAGATGCATGCCAAAAATGACGTGACAATTTTTCCTCCCTGACAACTGTGCATACAAGGAGTTCCACGGGAAGGTGAAGTCGGCAAACTCCCGAAGCCCCTACAAAATGAAAGAGAAAAGTGGGGGCTTTCCCCTCATTTTATCTCTGATGCTTAAGTCAGATAGGAGCTTGGCAAATAGTAGGCGAAAAGTTCTAGAAGGGTTTTTTCATTACCCATTTCTCATTCATATGAAGTTATTTATAGCAATCTAGGAGAGAGGGATTCTTGTGTTTTGAACTGCTTTTATGGGGTAGAGTTTGGTTATAGTTCGGCCACAGGTCCTGTACACATACAAGGTCGGTCCTCTAAAGCCTGCCTTTATGTCAGAATATCACGTCAATTATTCTTTGTCTTCTCCGTGAATGTCTCGTGAGACCTTCCGAGCTCCAAGAATTTGTGTCCATACACTGTAAAGACCTCAAGGAATGAAGGAATCCGAGGAGCAGGTCCTTGATCCCTCAACAACAAAAAGCAAAGGGAAAGATTAAAGGCACTGATTAGCAAACTGTAAGATGTAATGATGGGTGCAGAAACTACGTGAGTCTATCCAAAGAAAGCTGGCATGACCAAAATACCACCACAAAAGCCTTGGAAAATGATTCTAACGCCCTCCAAAGTACAGTGAATCACAGTTTGATGGGTTCATTGTTCATTCGGCCCTTAGCGACTTTTGTTTACTTCCATCCCATGTAAGACATGGGAGCAACAGTAGTTTTGATGTTTTCTTGAAAGGTCCCTGCATTGTTCTAAACTATTTCTCTAGTGTCATGGCATAGTTGCATGCTATCTATCAATCATAGGCAAGTTTGATGATGGTCAATTGATAGGTATTGTTAATTTACTGTCAGGGCTTTAATTAGCTTCTAGAATTTAAAATCACTATGCATTTTTAGGACATTATTAATATAATTAATTAAGCATCAAAAGAATTTATGTAACTAATGTTAATCATTTGATGTACAATCGCTTGGTAAATTAGTTCCAACTACAGATTTTAAGTCAACAACTAGAAATAAATACTGCAGATTAGTAATGCCAAGTGCGATACATATGTTCTTAAACTAATAGATTTTGTCTGATTCTCATTGAAGTCATTACCAAAGCACAACAATATTGCACTATTAACTATCACGACAGAGATGGTTGGTGTGGAAAAAGACTAGGATTGCTGAATCACTCGTGTGTGATGAGCAGGCAATTCATTCATGGATCATCTAGTGAAGGTTGGGTTAATACAATCTGCTAGATTAGTTGTTTTAGGGATGCCCCTCATGCACTTTGTTGGCTATTCGTCTACGATGCATTGGGAGTTTCATATCTCTAAGCAGTTGCTATTGAATGGCATTAGACACTTCGTTCTTACCAAAGAAGTGTAAAACAGAGAGAAATGGTTCATCCAGATACAAACATTGAAGATTATGAAAGGTTCGATCAGGCACATCATATATGATCTAAGCAATCTACAAGATCTCTCTCTCTCTCTCTCTCTCTCTCTCTCTCAACTCTATGGTGCCTGCAAAAATCTGCAATAAACAAGAAAGTAGTACTATATAATTATATTTAGATATGTATAGATTTTCATATTTTTATCTCTTAGATATGTTTATAAATGCAGATGTATGCCTTTGTGATCATAACACTAGGGTGTTGAACTCTTTACAAGATTTGTGTGAATTCGATTATTCTTTTTCTTTTTTTATAAAAAGAATGACTATAGAATTGTCTAAATCATACCAAGTTGGATTGAATGCATTGAACTCAATATAAATAATATTTCTTTGGTAAAAAGCACTATATGTATTTGAAAAAAAAACCCTACAAAAGTTGTGATACTTCTCACTCATTTATTGTATTTTAATAACACTAAAGTACTGCTTAGCCAATCGAATCTAATGTTATTCTGATTCCTTTATCATTATATTTTACGTGCATCCATCCTCTAATGTGGTCTATAACATTCACACCATTTTCTTAGAAGTTAGATGAATATAGAGTAACAATTGAAATTTGTAAAGCTCTTCCACTGCTATGTTCCTTCTAGTTGATATCGCCTGCTCAAGTGTCAACAAAAGAATTCATGCCAACTACTTTTGATATTTGGTTTCCCCATTTTTTGGTAAATTCATGTCAAGATTAATTTTTAAAACAACAACTAAAAATAATATTGCAGATGGATAATGCTGCGTGCGTGCGTGCGACACACGTGGCCTCACACCATTGAATTTTAAAATAGTAAATTTGCTTGCTGCAATTACTCATAAATATCTACCAAATTCATGTGGAATTACAAAAGAAAAGTACTAAAGAAACATTTAAGAATCATTTGATTTTCATCTAAACACCGCTAATAAGCAAGACTTATATCCGAGTCCCATTTACTATCATCACCAAAGCACAATTCTCCACAGCCCTTAATCATTCCACCAAAACATATTTTCCCCAATTTATGCGCTTAAAAGTTCAACAAGGAACAAACAAAAGTAATTTATTTGTGTCTGGAGTCAAAATGGAACTCCTCCAATAGGAGCAATTATAGTATTGGTGTATTTTTCTTGAATGGTCTATATGATGTTTTCAACTTCTAGTCTAGTATTATGTGACTGTAAGCAAATTTTAAATCTTAGACAATTTTGATGATAGTCTCGGTCATGCCAAACTAGTCATGACATTATTGTGTATTAGCTGCTGATTTGTGCCTGATTCCTTCTTCATTTTCATCAATCAGGCTTCAGCTCCTAAACAACTTATGCATAACAATACATACGACCTAAATCATTCCACAGGCATGGAACTTAACCAATTCATAGAGATTTGCAATAGCCTTTTGAAAATTCGAATTAAATTACGTTACAGAAATCGGCATTTAGACATGCTTTCCATATGGCCAAAGTAAACACCATTCTTGTCAGTTAGTAGAAACATCAAATGAAGCACTATCTGCTGCATAATTTGACCTCGCAATCAATTAATCAAAGTCAATGGACCGTCACGATTTAAAAGATTCAGTTGTACATAATTATGTTTAGATATGTATGGATTTTTTTCCATATATTTATATCTCTTACATATGTTCTGACAAAAAAAAAAAATCTCTAACATATGTTTATATATGCATGGGTGTTCCTTTGTTATCATAACACTAGGGGCATTGCCCTCCCTCTTAAGACTTGTGAGAATTCGATTATTCTTCTTACAGAAAAAATGACATAGGAATGTATAAAACTTACCAAGTTGGATTGAATGCACTGAACTCAATGTAAGTAATATAAATATTTTTCTTTGGTAAAAAGCACTATATCTACTTGAAAAAAAATTAAACTTACAAATGTTGTCTTCTCAATCAATGGCTGTATCTTGATAACACTAAACTACTTTTTTTTTAATTATTTTATAAAAATTTCGGCAGAGTTTCCCCTTATAAAAGGACGAAACTCCCTGCCATCAAACCACAATTTGACAATAAAAATACAATATAGCGAAGGATTAAGCACTTAAAATCTGATACTAAGATTAAATCTTCCGTTGTCCATATTAGGATGTCTTCCAGTGAATCTGAATGTTGATCCTTGAAGCTCAGCGGTTAATCTTGTTACTTTCACCTGCATTGGTCTTTTTTGCCTCTTATTCCCATTCATGCCAGATACCGTGTACGAAACGTAGGAAGTCCTAATCGATCTAATCTAATAGCCCCCCTGACCAATTGTGGTAAATCTGAAATTGTATTAAACACATGACCTGCGCAAGCATCAGCACCAAAATTTGCCAGATGATCTGCCGGTGTGTTTGCTTCTCTGTAGCAGTGTGTGATGGATTGGAAAGACTGCTTGAATATCATCAACTCATCCAGATCTCTCTGTAGACGCCACGGACACTCACTAGTCCCTTGAACAATCTGAACCAGGGTGAGAGAATCTGCCTCTAAGTGTAACTCCAAGTACCCTTGAATCACACAATGTCTAACTCCCCATAACAACGCTCGAAGTTCTGCTTGCATGCTAGATATCACTCCGAAGGGCTCCGCGTATCCAAATACAAAATTTCCTCGACTGTCTCGCACAAGTCCACCCCCCCACTCCTTCCTGGGTTTCCCCGAGAGCATCCATCTGAGTTCAACTTATAACCTCCACACGGAGTTATCCAATAAACTGGCTTAATAATCATCCGCCTTTGATGATTACCCAACTCGAGAAGTAACCCTTCCCATGTAGGAGCAGAACACTGCACCCCCGGGAACCGTGATTGAAGAAAATCATGAAGAAGCTGAACAATCCAAGTAACCGTATCCCTTATCCTCATCTTCCGATCTTCAAACACCCCTTCATTCCTTCTTTTCCACAAAACCCAGCATACTACCGAAGGAAGTATATTTTGTAAAAATTTTACACGGTCATTAGTTCCCCTCCTTACCCAACAAGACCACACCATGTGACGTGTCGTATGCACCCCACTAAATTCACCAGCAGTACTCTCGAAGTGACTCCAGACCGATCGTGCCCCTTCTCCTGAGCAAAATACATGATTCAAGTCCTCCTCATGAGGGTTCTGACAACAGAAGCATTTAGATGGGCCATAGACCCCAAACCTCTGTAATCGATCCATAAGAGGGAGCCTCCCCTGTAGTAGTCGTAACATAAAAAAAGAGATCTTGACTGGAAGGCCTTGCTGCCATATCCGGGCAAAAAGCCAAGAGGTGTCATTGGAATGACTGATCAATGAGTAAGCCGATGCAGTGGAAAAAACACCCGAGTTCGTCAATGCCCACACCATTCTGTCATTGCCCCTACCGGAAGGAGGATCAAGCTCCAGAACCTGCCTAACCAGTTCTCCATCTAAGAATTTATGGAGCATGCCCACATTCCAGACCCGTCGATCTACAAAATCCACCACGGAATGATCATGGAAGATATCCACCTTGTTGCAAAGCGCTCCTGACCCCATCCAATTGTCATGCCAAAAATTCAAAGCACCCTCACGGACTATCCAAGTAATATTCTCCTCCCCAAAACGCTGCATTGTGACCATCCTCCTCCAAGCCTGGGATCCCCGATGACCAATATCAGCCAGACAAGGGTGCTGCCCTGAACAATACTTTTGGAGCATAAACTTTGCCCATAATGATTGCTGTTGCCGGAATTTCCACCAGAGTTTAATGGAAAATGAGTCGTAGACCTGCTTCAACCCCCGCAGGCCTACACCCCCTTCATCCTTCGGCCGACACAGATCTGCCCAACTGAACCAATGGTACTTGTTCCCCAAATTCAAGGATCCCCACAAGAACTTGGTAAACAATTTCTCTAAGGCCATCAACATCCCTTTTGGAGGGGACGCGGCTGCCAGCAAATGAATTGGCATAGAGGCTAACACGCTCTGAATCAATACCACCCTGCCCCCTGACGATAAAATCTGGTTCTTCCAAGACAAAATGCGATTCGCCACCGCATTATATGTATCCGTATAGTAAATCATCTTACTCCTTCCGGCATATAAGGGACAACCAAGGTACCGAATCGGAAATACTCTTCTATTATATCCCAATACCTGGTTAACAACCGCTATCCTCTGAGCTAGTGAGCGTGGATGAGTAAGGAAACAACTCTTCTGAGGGTTGAGCCGTTGACCTGATGCCTCACTATAATCTTCCAGAACTCGTTTGATCAAATGTAGGGATGACCTGCCGCCACTAGAAAAGATAATCACGTCATCGGCGAATGCCAAATGCGTAATTATAGGACAATGAGGAGGCACTTTAAACGGAGTAAATCCTCTCTGTGTGGGTAGCTTGTTGAGGGCTCGAGACAACAACTCAACTCCAATAACGAATAAGGCTGGTGAAATGGGATCTCCTTGCCGTAAACCCCGTGAAGATTTGAAAAAGCCGTGTGAACCGCCATTTACAAGCACCGAGAACCAAACATTCGATATTAAGCGCCATATCATGTCTATCCAAGTTTCACTGAACCCGAAATACCGTAACACCTGTAGTAGAAAGGGCCATGAGACTCTATCATAAGCCTTCATCATATCTAACTTGATGACCACGTTGCCACCCCGATTTAATTTTTTAATATCCGCTACTAACTCTTGGGCTAACAAGAAATTATCTGTAATCTGCCTCCCTTGGACAAACCCACTTTGCTGTGGAGATATAATCGGGGGTAATATTATCGCCAATCTTGTCGATAATAGTTTGGAAATGATTTTGTTAGTGAAGTTACATAGACTGATTGGCCGAAATTGCTTGAAGTCTTGGGGGTTCTCCACTTTGGGTAACAACACAATTGAAGTAGCAGTGATACTCCTAGGTAGTTCAGCGCCGCAGAAAAAACTGATAACCGCACGGTATATATCCAAAGCCACTACCTCCCAAGCAAAGGTAAAGAATTTCCCTGTAAACCCGTCCGGCCCTGCTGTGCTCTCTCCGTCCATAGCAAAGACTATATCTTTAACTTCTGTAAGAGATGGAATGTCCGTTAACCGTGAGTTTTCTTGGTCCGTTATCAATTTCGGTATGATCTGCAGACCAGTAAAGCAAGGAAGGCCCCCCTCTGCTGTGAAAAGCTCCTTAAAGAAACCCACTGCTGCTTCCCTAATCTGGCATTCCTCATCGATCCACTCTCCAGCGGTATCTTTGATCCGATGAATTACTGCCCTATGCCTCCTTTCCGTGACCAAGGAATGAAAATATTTGGTGTTCCTATCTCCGTCCGAGAGCCACCTTACCCGCGCCTTTTGTCTCCAAAAACCCTCCTCAACTATAAGCGCTCGGCGTAACCGAGCCCGAGCATGATGTAACTCGCTCCGCCGTTGCTCAGTAGGATCCAGGTCGTATGCTGTTTCAGCCTCTGTTACCATACGTTCGGCATCACGTGCTCCCTGAAAAATATCCCCAAATGTCGTTCTAGACCATTGCTTGAGGGCATTTTTAACATTCCTCAACTTCAAGGCCAATACTTGCAAAGGAGAACCATTGACTGGTTGAGCCCAACAATCCTTGATAACCCCCAGTAAACCAGGATGAGTAGTCCAGATGTTTAAGAAACGGAACGGCTTGGGTTTGTTATCTAGTTTCGTATCCACCGACAAAAGTAATGGAGCATGATCCGACGGGTCACGTCCTAAATGTTGCACCATGATTTGGTATGGAAGCTCTAAAGCACGCCCGCATAGAAGTAAGCGGTCCAGACGTTTCCATATCCGCGCCGTTCCCGAACGGTTATTACACCAGGTATATCTTGAACCAGAGAATCCCGCATCACAGACACCGGCCATCGTCATGAAATTCAAAAAATCTGATCCCTCTGACGATCTAAATGGCAATCCACCCCTCTTCTCCTCGGTATTTATGACCACATTGAAATCTCCCATCAAAAACCAAGGGTTGAAGTCGGGTTTATCTCCCAAAAGTGCATTCCACAAAATTTCTCTTTCCTGCTCCGTACACTTCGCATGTATACAAGATAAAGTAATGAAGTCTTGAAAAATATGAGATTTAACTCTAATAGTTAGATGTTGGGGAGACTCCCCTGTAATCTGACACGTAAACAACGACCGGTAGAAAATCCAAACAGAACCCGAAAGATTGAACAAGCAACAATCCATCCCTAATTTAATTCTAATATTAGTGATTGACTCCACCCTCAATTTAGGTTCAACAACAACCACCAACTGAAGATCATACATTTTAATAAGTTTCCTTAATCGTCTTAAATTAGGAGCACGAGCTACCCCTCTTATATTCCAAAAAAGAAACTTAATCATCAGAAAGGACAGAAAAAGAATTTGATGAAGAACTAACCATGGAGCGTAGTGTTCTATCTGACGGGATACTAGCTCGGAGACCACGTGACACCGTCTCCAAATGCCCGGTCTGTAGTGATGACTTCTCCTGTCGGACAAGGTCCTTGCCCCTAGGGGAGAGGGAACCTACCCTTCTTTGAGACTCCTGTATGTCATCAATTTGTCCCTCAACAGAACACACTACCACCCTCGCGGGCAGCGCACTCCCTGCAATCTCAGAACCTTCCTCTCCTTTCTCATGTCCCAGCACCACCTCGATACCTTCGACAGCCACCGCCCCACATTCCTCCTCCGTTTTCCTCTCATGCTGTGCTGCTATAGTATCAGAGGACTGCTGCACCTGGTCCTCTTGCTCAGGCTCGTGAGATGTAACACCTGGTGACTGATCATGAGCAACTAACTCTTTGCTAGCCACAGCCCTATTAACTTCTCCCTTTGCCCCATCAATCGCTGCAGCATCTTGTAACAACCTTGCTGGGTTTTTTGTATTATCCTCCGAAGGCCCATCAGGCCCAGTAGTCTTGGCATGTTGACCAGAGGTTCCTCTCAATTCGGGCTTTAAAACATGACAAATCTCCACATCGTGACCTTGGCGGAAACAATGTGAGCAATACCTTGGAAGGTTCTCAACCACCAGCTCTTGCCAAAAACCAGTATGATTTCCATTGCCAATCCAAACCCGCGACGGAGTCGACCGCAACAAATCCATCTCAACACACACCCGTGCCACACTTGGTCTTGACACCGCAAGGGTAGCCGCATCAACCAACAAAGGGTTACCCACCATAGAAGCAATCTGGAAAATCACCTCCTTATTGAAAAAATGCAGTGGGAGCTTTGGTAATTGAAGCCACAGCGGAACCACCGACGACTCCCTATCAACATGGAAGTCTGTGGTCCATTTGAATACTCTCATGGGGAATGAAGCCACATACCAGATCCTCCTGAACCATACACGATGGAAATCAGCTTCATTGTTCAACTGAATTAACACATGTCTTGCGTCCAATAGGCCAATCATCGGGTTCTCACGTAAATCCAGCGATGCAAAGAATTTCCTCACCTCCTCCAACTTCGGTCTACCTCTAGAGAATTTCCCAATCAATGCAAAACGAAATGGACTAGCCAAAGCTTCAACCGCTGCCTGTGGGAAAATCAATGCAGGTTCTCCTTTGTGTGTAGCCTCCTGTGCCGCAA